TGGAGAACCTCTAAGCATCGAAAATGGGAAGCACAGTGGTGGCTACAGAGTGAGCTTTGATTTTGGTGAGGTAGTGACTTACCACTGCAATTCAAGAGGTCAAGAGAAATTTACACTTATTGGAAATGACACCATTATTTGTGATAAAGATGGAGAATGGGATAAGTTGCCTCCTAAATGTAAAGGTAATGGATTTCTTTAGAGTTTTTTCCTTCTTGATGTATAAATAATAAAAGACTACTTTGAAAATAATCATAATGGGGTTTAGCCATGTGTGAGTAGAGGCAATGCCTGTCTCATGCTTCTTTTAAAAACTGCCTTTAACTTAACTCAGTTTGGCAGGTATAGACTAAAAACCAATTTTGTTTTGGAAATGTCGTTACCTATTCCTAGGGCTGGAAATGATTTGTGTGCTTTTTGGGGTCTCTACCATGGTTGTGTAGGTATTCAAGGTACTTAATTAGAATTCAATTGAAGAAAAACAAAATCCATACCAATATTTTCACATAAAATTTAGCTACTAATTGTGAGAATATCATCACTACAAATAGAATGAAAATTTTCACTTACTGTTCCTACATGGTAGGTTTATATTTGTGTTGCTTGCTTGTCTGTTGAGTGAAGTTTACTGATTCAGCTTTAAAGAAGTTTATTCATCACCCAAAGAACCAGAGGTAGTGTTAGGACACATGGTACTCTGTGATGGTAAGTGCCTTAGTCACTTAGACCATGCTAACAGGTTTAAGCCATAGGCCTGGCTAAGTTTGAGAAAGGAACATCTTTTTTCTACAAACATTTTTTAAATTACCTTAAATATAACTACTTTAAAAGAACCAAAATTAAATAATATTATTAACAAGTTCTAAGTTAATGATGTTATATATAGATGTAATAGCTAATAATATAAAAATTTTAATTTAATAGCTAATAGTAATATAAAATTTTTAAGAAAAAAAGATCCATTCTGCCTTTGGGTCTCTATTCATTCATTCCCTCATTTATTGATTGATTGATTGACTGTTATATTGATATTATATTGATTGATTGTTATACGGCATAGTTTTGATCTGACTTTGGTTTTATTTCCAGAGAGCTTAAATAGATAGTTCTTTACTAACCTTCCTTGAGTCCTTACACTGAAGTCATACCCTATCTAGGACTTACCCACAACTCTGGATCTTTAGAAAAGCATAACATCAAAAACCCTTGTAGGTTTTTACAAGTGTAAACTTGGTGATAATTTAGTTTCAGCCAATACTTAACGAACTAGTTTTGTATCCACCACTTCCTAGCCCTATGCCCCCCCCCCCTTTTTTTTAAACATAATGACATTAACAAGTGTTTTCAAATAGTAAAAAAAAAAAACCTTTAAATTATCCCCCCCTCCCCTGCCATGGAGTTGTGAACTAGTCTAATTCTGGAAAGCAATTTGGAACTGTGACCCAAGGGCTATAAAACTGTGCATACCAGTGGCAGCTAGATAGCACAGTGGATTGAGCACCAGCCCTGGAGTCAGGAGGACCTGAGTTTAAATCCAGCCTCAGACACATAACACTCACTAGCTGTGTAACTCTGGGCAAGTCACTTAACCCCAATTGCCTCACCAAAAACCCCCCCCAAAAACCTGTGCATACCATTTCACCCGATAATACCATTACTGTATCCCAAAGGCTTCAAAGAAAAAGGAAAAGGACATATATGTACAAAAATATTTATAGCGGCTCTTTTTGTGATGACAGAGAATTGGAAATTGAAAGGATGCCCATCTATTGGAATGGCTGAACAAGTTATGATATATGATTGTTATGGAATACTATTGTTCTGTAATGTAAATGAACTGATACAAAATGAAGTGACCAGAACCAGGAGACCATTGTACACAGTAATAGCAATATTGTACAGTAACGAACTGCGAATGACTTAGCTATTCTGATGAATACAGTCATCCGAAGGACTTGGAATGGACCTTCAGAGAGAGAACTGATGGAGCCCTGAGTACAGATTGAAGCATAATTTTTTTTTCATTTTTAAATTTTTCCTTTTTCCTTTTTCTTTTTTTTACAACATGGCTGATATGAAAATGTGTTTTGTATAATTTCACATGTATAATTGATATCATATTTCTTGCCTTGTCTGTGAGTGGGGAGGGGTGTGAAGGAAGGGAGAAAATTTGGACTTACTAATTTTTTTTTTAAATCAGTGCTAAAGATAATAATTTTTTTTTAAATTTTCCCCACCATACATACAGGCAGAAAATTAGCAGGCTTGAGTTCCACTGTAACCTGAACCATAACTCTATTCCCTCCATTCCCAAACTTGCATGAGATTTATTGTGAGAGTTTAGTGGCAAGATGGGAGTGAGCAAACTAGGTTAAGGATTGATTGGATGTCAGGCTAGGTGTAATGTTTCCTCTCCTATGATATATCAATAGTTAGATCAGGGTACTTGGGGAATTTGAAAGATGAGCACAGACAATGCAGGATATTCCTACATTTTATATGAAAACCCCTTCATGACCCATGTGCTCCTATCACAGAAAGTTTATTTTCATTTGACCTTTATTATTTTTTTGTTTTAAAGAGAAATCTATCAAATTTTTCCTCTTTCTGGTGAGTGGCTTCTTTTGAAGATGATTTTCCTCAGTTCCCCCTAGAAATCTTTACCTTTTACAAACTGCTTTTGATTTAAGATCTTTCCAAAAGTGATTTGTATTTCCAATTCACAGACCATTTGTCTTGACACTTAAAATATATAGAAAACTTAAGGTTTAAAAAAAAATTCAATGATTTCATTACAAAATTTTATTCTTTTAATTATTGAGAGAGATTTATCATAGATTATATAAATGGTTTCATTGACCCATCAACTCAGCATGAAAAAAAACATTTCATGAGCCAAACTAAATTCAACTTGGTATACATTTACTGAACACTTAATTCAATAGGACTAAGTCTCAGAAGCTTAAACATGCAGAGGAGATAAAAAAAAATGAATAGGAAAACTTAACTGTAAGATGGCAATCAACTACCAAAGAATTATTTTATACACTAGAAAAAATAGCAAAATTCATCTGAAAGAACAACAGGTGAAGAATATCGAGGGAATCAGTGGGGGGAAAAAAGTAAAGGAAGGCAGCCTAGTAGCACCAGATCTCAAATTATACTACAAATCAGTAGTCATTAAAACAGCCAAGTACTGGATAAGAAATAGACATATCTACATTAGTAAAATAGCCACAGTAACTTGGTATTTGATAAACTCCAACATCCAAGCTATATTAGGTTAAGAACTCGCCATTTGCCAAAAACTGCTGGGAAAATTGGAAAACAGTCCAGCAGAAACTAGGCATAGACTAACATCTCACACCACATACCAAGATAAGCTCAAAATGGTTCATGATTTAGACATAAAAAGTGAGATAAGCAAATTACTTTCAGATTCATGGGTAAGAGAAGAGTTTATGACCAAACAAGAGATAGAGAGGATCCTATGAAGTAAAGTGGATAACTTGGGTTTACATTAAATTTAAAGGCTTTTTGCACAAACAAAACCAATGCAGCCAAAATTAGAAGGCTAGCAGGAAACTGGGGGAGAAAATTACAGCAGATTTCTTTGATAATTGTTTGATTTTTCAACTATATAGGGAACTAAGCCAAATCTATAAAAATAAGAGCCATTGTCCACTTGATAAAAGGTCAGGCAGACTTAGAACAGGTAACTTTCAAAAGAAGAAATCAAAGCTATTACTAGTTATTTGAAAAAATGCTCTAAATCACTACTGATTAGAGACATGCAAATTAAAACAACTCTTAGATACTGTGAACCCCTCAGATTGGCTAACATAACAGAATAGGAAAATGACATGCTGGAGCAGATGTGGAAAAATAGGGACACTAAGGACACTGTTGGTGGAGTTAAGAACTGGTCCACCCATGCTAGAGAATGATTTGGAAGTACATCGAAAGGGCTATCAAGCTGTACGTATACTTTGACCCAGCAATACTGCTACTAGGTCTGCACTCCAAAGAGATGAAAAGAAAAGGACCCGCATGTACAAAAATATTTATAGCAGCTCTTTTTGTGTTGTCAAAGAATTGGAAATCAAAAGGATGCCCGTCAGTTAGGGAATGGCTGAACAAGTCATGGTATGTAATTGTACTGGGTTACTTTTGTGGTATAAGAAATGACAAGCAGGATGGTTTCAGAAAAAACTGGGAAAGTTTATATGAACCCTCACAAAAGGAAATGAGCAGAAATTCTACATAATAACAATAATATTGTAACAAGAATGAACTGTGAATGACTGCTGTTCTGATCAATGCAGTGTTCCACGAAATAAAGGGTTCATAATATAGGATGCTATATCTACTTCTAAAAAGAGAATTGATGAATTCTGAGTGTAGATAGAAACATATATTCTTTCACTTTATTTTTCTTGCTTTTTTTTTCTCTTGCAACATGGCTAATATGGAAGTATGTTTTATATGACTTCATTCGTATAATTGGTTTTGTATATTCTTGTCTTCTCAATGGGTGAGGGAGGGACAGAATTCAGAAGTGAAAATTAAAAAAAAATTTTTTTTAAGTTTGCATTTGCTCCTGAAATGAGAATTTATTACATTATGGAATTTAAGAGCTTAAAGGAACCATGAGTATCACTTAATCTAAACCCTTATTTTATAGATAAGAAAACCAAGCCCCAGTGAGGGGGCCTGGTATGTCTAAGCCCTCATTGGGAATCTGGTCTTAAGTAGGAGAGAAGCAGTTTGATCCTAAGTACCCTTAGTTCAAATCCTGTGATCTTTTTACTACACCTTGAGTTCTTTGGAATGTGATATATCTGGAATCAAAATGTCATTTACTTTATATTTTAATCATGTTTATCATTTATTTTAATGTTTTTTATTGTTGTGAATAGTTTCCTAGTTCTGCTTTTACTGATCTACTTCTGCTTCTTCAAAGCAAACTTTTGAAAAACTTTATAAATTTTCTTTTTTAGAAGTCAAATGTAAAACTCCAAAAGTTGACAATGCAGTCCAGCTAACAGGATTTGGATCCTTTCATGGTTACAAGGACACAGTTGATTTCAAATGTGAAGATGGTTATTTCTTCTTACGAGGTAACGGCACAATTACCTGTGAAGCTGATAGTAATTGGAGCCCTGTACTTCCGTTTTGTTCTACAGGTACAAAAATCAGTCTTTCACTTCTTTCATTTTGCTACTTCTAACATGAGTAATAATAGATAGGGACTCTAAAAAAGTCATTGTTTGTCACATTGTATTCATTTGCTGTGATGTGCATATTTGCCAATATATCTTGATTTAACTGTTAATATTTTTCAAGCCTCACCTTAATTGTTGCTTATTATTTGAGGACACTTGTTCATTCTCCTAGTTTTAGTGTTCACTTTCATTCCCCCCAGAATAAGACTTTCTATTTCCATTTGTATATATATTTTGTGTTTATTTAGTGCATGGAAGCAGGTGTTTCATACACAATTTAGACTTTGACCTAGACTTTTCTGGCTTCCAGACAACATCTCTATCAATCCCAGTGACTCTTTGCCCCTAACAGTCATATCAACTCTATTTTCTGTACCCTGCTGCCCACTCCCTTATTCCCATTCACCTTCCTCCTTCTATCCACCACTTCAGTGTTCCATTCAAGAGCTACCCACTCTTTCCACTTTTGTTTTTGCAATTTTAGCAGCTCTATAGGGGCAAAATTTGCTTTCATCTTAAACGTTTTCCTTGCCCACTCCTTCCATCTTCTTTCATTTTTCTGAAACCTGGCTCCCTTCTAGTGACACAGCTAACTTGTCTACCCTTTCTAGCACTAGTTGTACTTTCACTCTAGCCCTCCCTGTCACTGATCATGGTTGGGGATTTGAGATTCCCTTTGCTCTCTGTGGCCTCTTCTATGCCATCGATTTATTTACCACCATCACTTAGTAACCTCTCCTCCTTTGAAGTTCATTCACTCCACACCTACTACCTAATTAAGATGGGTAACTGTTTTCTGCCAACTTCTAGAACATTCTTTTTCTTTCCTCACTGAGTTCAGTGTCTGGCTCACATCTTTCCACTCCCCAGCTACTACCCTCATACTAGGGAATGTCAGCACACTTATTCATACTCCCTCAACCACCTTTACCTCCATTTTCTTCAGCTTACTCTTTTCCCATGATCTGATTCTCTACCCTACCTCAGCTGTACGTAGAGACAGTCATACCTTTGATCTTGTCTCCACTTGTAAGTGTTCCATTTTCATGTCCATGAATGCCTTCTCTGATTCCTGTCAGCTGTCATCCTACCTCTCCTTCTTTTTCAGCCCCAAATCTTGTTCTTTGTTCACACCATGACCTCCAGTCCCTCCACCTCTCAGTTCTTTTCCAGGATATCACCCATATGTTGTCTTCCCTTGCCCTCTGTGCCCAGCTTGACCTATTGATGAACTAATGCCATGTTATACTATCCTCTTGAGGCCCTTGCCTTCTTTTTCCCTTTCTAGTCTTTCTGTGCCAAATCTCAGCCTTGGATTTCTCCTACCATCTGTTGTCTTTTGCTCCTACTCATGTGCTCCTAAATGAAGCTGGAGAAAATCATAAAACCATGCTAACTGGGTCCACTACAAATCTATATTATATTATCTCAACTGGGCCCTCAGTACTGCAAGGCATTCTTTTTATACCTCTCTAATCAATTCACCATCCCACTCACCACAGCAGCTTTTTCAGACCTTTCATCCCTCCTCAAACTTCAGTTATTTTCCCTTACCTCACTCTCTAAGCTGAGAACTTTGCCTCTTATGTCACTGAAAAAAATTGAGGCCATTTGCCAAGAGTTCCTCTTATCCCTTCTTCTTCATCTTGTATCACTCAAATGTCTTCTGCTGCTATCTCCTTCACTCCTGTGTCACATGAAGGTTTGGTTCTTTTCCCTGCCAAGACTAGCCCCTCTACCTGCAGAAGTGATCCTATTCCATCTCTTCTTGGGACTTGACCCTTCTATCATCCCAGCTCACTCATTAATCTTTAATCTTACCCTGTCTACTGGTTGTGTCCCTGATGCCTTCAAACATTCTCACATCTCCCCTTTCCTCCAAAATCCCTTATTTGATTTGTTCATCCTTTCTAGCTATTATCCCATATCTCCTCCCTTTTGTGGTTAAACTACTTGAGAAGGCCATCAAGAATTGGTGTTGCCACTTCCTTTCCTCTTACTCTCTTCTTAACTCTTTGTAGTTTAACTTCTGACCTCATCACTCAACTGAAAATGCTTTCTCTGAAGTTTCCAATGATTTCTTAATTGCCAAATCTAATAATCTTTTCTCAGTCCTCATCCTTCTTGACTTCTCTTTCAGCCTTTTACACTGTTGGTTGTCCTCTTCTCCTTGGTAGTTTCTTATCTCTAGGTTTTCATGACACCAGTCTCTCCTGGTTTTCTTCCTGTCCAGTGACTCCTCAGTGTCTTTTTCTGTCCCTTAATCCCAGTCATGCCCTCTAACTGTGGCTGTTTCTCAAGGTTCTGTGCTGGGCCTCTCTTCTTTTCTTTCTCTAGTAATTCATTTGGTTATCTCATCAGTTCTCATGGATTCAATTATTCCTTTTCTTATGATTCCCAAATCCACTTATCCAGCTTTAACCTCTCCTGACCTTCAGTTTCTCATCTCCAACTGCCTATTGCACATTTCGAAATAGATTTCTCACAGATATCTTAAACCCCACATGCACAAAACTACACTCATCTTTCCACCCCAGACCTCCTTTCTTCCTAACTTTCTTGTTACTGTCAAAGGCATCACTACCAAGTTCACCAGGCTTGCAATGTAGGTATCATTCTTGACTCCTCGCTTGGCAACATACTGGATGTGAGGCAATAAACATCTCTTGAGTATGACACTGTCTTTCTTCTGACATTGCCACTACTCTAGTACCCTCATTAACTTATGCCTAAACTTGTAGTAGCCTCCTGGTTAGTCTCCTTGCCTCAGGTCTCTCTCTCTATTCAGTCCATCTTCCAGTCGGTTGTCTTCTTGAAGTGCAGGTGTAATGTGCTCTCCCCCCCTCCCCCATTTATTTAACCCAGATCCAATATAAAATCCTCTGTTTAATGTTTAAGACCTTTTATAACCTGGACCTCTTCTGTTTTCAGTTTTCTTAAATGCACTCCTCTTCTTGTATACTCTGAGATCCAGTGACACTGACCTCCTTGCTGTTCCTTGCATAAGACACTTCCGTCTCCCAGCTGTAGACATTTTTCTGACTGTCCCCCATACCTGGCTTGTCTCCATCTCTTGGCCTTCCTGGCTTCCATAAAGGCTGAGCCAAAATTCTATCTACGGGACTTCCTTTATTCCCCTAAATGCTAGTTTCTTCTCTGTGTTGATTATCTCTAATTTGTTTTATGTATATGTGTATATATGTATGTATGTATATTTTTTTCCCCGCCTTTCTTTGTATCCCCAGCTCTTAATGCACTGCCTGGCCCATAGCACACACTTAATAAGGAGTTGTTGACTGACTGACAATAAAGAAAAATTACAGGAATTTTTATTTAAGGAAATGAAAATGCAAAACATAACTTTACTAATAAGAGAGGTAGCTCTTAAACTTTTTGACATCTGCTTTTCTTTTTGAATTTCTAGAACATGCCTATACAGAGCCACCTTACCCAAGTCGTCCAGGTACAGTAATTCCTCATTTAGTTATGTGTTGTTAAAAAAAAATCTTTTAGTCTCCTGACCTTCAGTTTCTCATCTCCAACTGCCTATTGCACATTTCGAAATAGATTTCTCACAGATATCTTAAACCCCACATGCACAAAACTACACTCATCTTTCCACCCCAGACCTCCTTTCTTCCTAACTTTCCTGTTACTGTCAAAGACATCACTACCAAGTTCACCAGGCTTGCAATGTAGGTATCATTCTTGACTCCTCGCTTGGCAGCATACTGGATGTGAGGAAATAACAGCTAAGTTCTGTCTGTTATATCTTCACAACATCTCTTGAGTATGACACTGTCTTTCTTCTGACATTGCCACTACTCTAGTACCCTCATTAACTTATGCCTGAACTTGTAGTAGCCTCCTGGTTAGTCTCTCTGCCTCAGGTCTCTCTCTCTACTCAGTCCATCTTGCAGTTGGTTGTCTTCTTGAAGTGCAGGTGTAATGTGCTCTCCCCCCCTCCCCCATTATTTAACCCGATCCAATATAAAATCCTCTGTTTAATGTTTAAGACCTTTCATAACCTGGGCCTCTTCTGTTTTCAGTTTTCTTAAATGCACTCCTCTTCTTGTATACTCTGAGATCCATTGATACTGACCTTGCTGTTCCTTGCATAAGACACTTCCGTCTCCCAGCTGTAGACATTTTTCTGACTGTCCCCCATACCTGGCTTGTCTCCATCTCTTGGCCTTCCTGGCTTCCATAAAGGCTGAGCCAAAATTCTATCTACGGGACTTCCTTTATTCCCCTAAATGCTAGTTTCTTCTCTGTGTTGATTATCTCTAATTTGTTTTATGTATATGTGTATATATGTATGTATGTATATTTTTTTCCCCTCCTTTCTTTGTATCCCCAGCTCTTAATGCACTGCCTGGCCCATAGCACACACTTAATAAGGAGTTGTTGACTGACTGACAATAAAGAAAAATTACAGGAATTTTTATTTAAGGAAATGAAAAGGCAGAACATAACTTTACTAATAAGAGAGGTAGCTCTTAAACTTTTTGACATGTGCTTTTCTTTTGAATTTCTAGAACCTCCTAATAAGAACCACCTTACCCAAGTCGTCCAGGTACAGTAATTCCTCATTTAGTATATATTGTTAAAAAAAATCTTACAGTACTTTGAGTTATCTTTCATTCACCATCTTCACTGAACCAAAAATTCAGTGGTGATACAAATGAAGTAAGATGTACAGTGAAAAGGGAAGGCAAAAAGGCTAAGGTTCAGTTCCTCCCCTATGTCTCTTTCTGGTGGTATTTAATGACCCTTGCTGACTAATCTTCAGTAAGGTAACGTGGCAGTGCCGTTTATGGAATTCATCAGAGAGTTCTTCATTTTTCAGAGTTCAGTCCATTTGTTGTGTTCTGAACTGTTGAAGGTGCTCTGAGCTTGGAAACTGTTCTGATATGACCCATGCAGTATTCCTAGCACTCACCTGACACTCTCTCCTGATTTTACTCAGAATCTTCCCCTACCTTACTGTTGCTGGGACAATGAATAGGAATAACAGTCTACCTCTGTAGATGACAACCTAGAAATTTCATTAGTCATAGAATCATAGCTGGAAGAGGCCTTGGAGGCCATTTAGTTCAGTCCCCTCATTTTATAGATGAGGAAAATGAGACCAAGGAAGGTATGATCAAAAAGGTAATGCGGCTTAAATTCCCATTGAAGTACAAAAGCCCAACAAAATCTTATCAAGTAAATATATAAGATTTTAAAATTCTTTTTCTTTTCTTTTCTTTCTTTTTTTTTTTTTTAGGGACTAAGCACTCAGTAAAATGCTTAGGTAGCGTTTATAATTCCTATAAATACTATTACATTTCCAACATTCATTTATCCCTCTGCCCCAAGGTTTCAAGAGGAAATGTCCATTATTTTTCACCTCTTCCAGATTTATTTCTTCCATGTTGGGGTTCTTTGATTTGCAGTTAGAGTAGAAAGCATATGGTAATTGACGAAGTGGGGATAAATACTATTTTCTAGAAGTAAATACAAAAGGACGTGCATTGTCAACAGTTCTGATCAAGCTTACTAGACTCTGTCCAAGGGGAAACATACTTCTGACTATGGCACTTGAGTGTTGTTTTGAGGATCAAATGTGATAACATATCAATATTTTGTAAGCATCAAAATGCTTACATAAATGTTAGCTCCTGTCAACAATGATAAAAAATTTGCATTCATTTTTTTTTATAGCCCTAGGAAAGGGCTATAAAATATCTGGGCTAGGAATTATTCTTATATACTGATAAATACTTTAATTGCCAGAGTCTTTGGTCTAGGATTCCCATATAGGATATGGGTGTGGTAATACCAAAGGCTGTGGATGTAGATTCTATGGATTTTTGTGGGATATAATATAAAATAATAGCTTACATTTTATAAGGATTAATTTTATTTATTGGCTGTCACTTTTACTCATTGGCAACTCATCTTATACTTTCATGTCCATTATAAATAAATGTTTATTAATGTAGTTCACCCTAATAAATAACCCAATGTGTATTTAATTTGATTTTTTTAGTTTTTCATAGGAGTTGAACACCCATGTGCTTTATATATGTTTGTAAAGTTTCCATGGTAATAAGTGGAGTTTACAAATTATTAAATAGAAAAGAATAGTAATTGGTTAATACTAATCCAAGGTCATTAGGCAAAGAAACACTGGAGTTTTTGTTTCCAGAGTTTAAAAGTAAAAAATGTTAACATTATACCGATGAAGCTAGAGCAATGGTTTCTAAAATAGGGTTTTCGTTGTTGTTGTTGTTTTGAATTAAATCTGCATTTCGTGGGGGGGGCTTTTCTAGGATCTGCTAGTACTTCCCAACAAGAACCACCTGTCTCAAGTCAACCAGGTTCAGTAATTCCCCATTTAGCATTTTTTATACAAATTGTAGTTGTTTATGATGCTTTTACCCCATCATCTTTTATGACAAAGCTGCCTTGCTCTTCCAGGGCTTTTTCCATTCTTCAGAATACGTGTAGTTTGGTATATTCCTCATTCAACAAACACTTATTAAATACCTACTATGAGCAAACATCTATAGTAGGTTAGAGCAGTTCTGAGGTGACCAGGGAAGTTCCCCATTCCCTTGTCTTAAGTGAACCTCACAATAGGCTGATCCTTTTTAAAAAAAGTAAATCTTGGTATCTGTTGTCTTTATATCACTCACCCACATTTTCCAATGCATCCCTTCCAAAGAAGAGTCCTCCATAACAATAAATTAAAAGGGGGGAAAAGAACAATCCAGCAAAACTAACCAGCACATTGATTTTTCTACAACTTTAGTCCCCACCACTGCATAGCAGAAGAAGAAGGTGCTTTCTCATGTCTCTACATTGGGACCTACTCAGTCATTGTAATATCTCAGCATTTACATAGTCATAGATTTTGGGAGTTGGAAGGGACCTCAGAAGTCTTCTCATCCATCCCATATACCAAAGGAAAGCCCACTATAACATTGTTTGTTCACCTTCTGCTTGAAGACCTCCAAGAAGGAAAACCATCCACCTCTTTAGTCAGGCCATTCCCCTTTTGGACAGCTCTAATCGTTAGGAAGTTTGTATGACAGCAAGCCTAACTTGTCCTCTTTACAACTTAGAGCTCTTTGCTTATTGTGCTGTCTAGTGGGACCAAAATATAACAAGTTTAATCTGTCTTACAAAGACAGCCCTTCAAGGTATCAGTGAAAGATAACACATCACCCTTGAGTCTTCTCTTTCTGGCTAACTGTCACCAGGTTCTTCAACTAATTTTCATATGGCCTGAACCCAAGGCCCTTCACCATTCTGGTTGCCCTCCTGGAAGCTCTGACTTGTCAATGTCCTTCATAAAATGTGGTGCCCAGAATTGAGCCCAGTATTCTAGATAGTGTAATGAAAGTCAGAGTACAGTGGAACTATCAAATCCTAAAAGCCCTATTTTTCTTGGTGCAGCTTTTTTTGTCTGTTTCAATATGTTATTGATTCATTAAGCTTGTACTGTAATGAAAGCGTCAGATGTTTTTCAGAATAACTGTTGTCTATCTATGTCCTACCAATCTCGTACTTATGAAGTGGATTTTTTTTTTGTATCCAAGTACAGAATTCTGCATTTATCCTATTTGAATTTCATCCTATTAGATTTAGCCATGTTATAGCTTATCAGCATTGTTTTGTTTCTTGTCATTTTTTTTGTATGAGGATCTCTCTCAGATTTCTGTCATCTACAACTTTGAGTATACCATCTCTGCCTTCATCCAGGGCATTGATTAAAGTGTTAAAAAGCATAGATGTCTGGAGTATGCCACTGGAGACCTCTCGCCATATTGACATTGAAACAATAACAACTCCTGTGTGAGTCCAAACAGTTATGAATCCATCTGACTGTATTATTTAATCCATGTCTTTCCGTCTTCTCCACAACAATAGTATGAGATCTTTTCAAGTTTTGTTAAAATATGGTAAACTATATTTGCAGTGTAATCTTATCAAAAAGGGAAATGACATTAGTTTGATTATGACCTGCTCTTGATGAAGCTGTGCCTGGCTCCTTGTAATCATTACTTCCCTTTTTAAATGTCTGCCAACCTTGATGTCTCTTAATGATCTGTTGTAGTATTTTCCCAGCAATCAGAGTGAAGCTATAATTCCCAGACTCTTATCTTCCTTCTTGTGAAAAATCAGGATGACATTTACCCTTCTTCAATATTGTGGTTTGTCCTTTCATGATCTTTTAATTTTCAGTGACAGTGACCTAGCAATCACATATCTGCCGGTTCTTTGTGGACTCAAGGGTCAAGTAACTTGAATTTATCAAAGTCAGCTAGGTACTCTTTCTAGCTCTTTATCTTGAGTATTAACTCCCTGGTAGTAATGTTTGTTCTCTCATTTCCAATGTGAAGGCCATCCTCTTTTGCAAAGAAAATAGAAAACCAAATAAGGGTTGTGCACCCTGCCTTCTCTTTGTTGTCAATTTTCATTACCCATCTATGCCAGGAAAGGTCCTATTGGGGGGGGGTGGCAATCTGGGTTAAGTGACTTGCCCAGGGTCACACAGCTAGTTAAGTGTCTGAGTTTCAACTCAGGTCTTCCTGAGTTCTATCTGCTGAGCCATCTAGCTGCCCCAAAGGTCCTACTCTTTGATCTTCTTTTGTCTCCCAAAGTACCAAAACAAAACAAAAAGCTACAAGACACTAGTAAAGAACTAGAAAGTTAAAGTATTCAACTGAGGGATGACTGGACTTTGAATGGAATAAATGATTATTATTTATCATTAATAAATGACAAAAGAGACATTTTCAGACAAAACTGAGACGACTCATGTGAGCTGATACAGAGCCAAGTGAGCAGAATCTGGACATTTTATACACATTGTAAAGAAAAACAATTTTGAAAGACCTAAGAACTCTGATCAATATGACAACCAGCTATGACTCCAGAATAAGTCTGCTTACTCCCTTCCTAACAAGAGAGGTGATAGACTCAAGTTGTACATGAAGACATACATTAAAACACTGTTTTGCTTTACTATAAGTTGGGGTCCCCCCCCATCTTGGAGGGGATTTAGATGGGAGAGGTGTATGAGTGATTATGTTGCCAAAAAAGAAGAAAGAAAAAAGAGTAACTGAGCCATTGTTTTAAATGCACAGAGAATTGATCAGTATTTATCCAGTTATTTAAATTCTTTAAAAATGTTCCTTAAAGGAATAATTATATCTATGCAGTTACTAAGTATTCTTTGGAATATTGGCTCCTATGTATTTTATGTATTTTGTAATTCTTTTAAATGAGACTTTTTCCTTTTACATTTCCCTTCTGGATCTTATCACTATGTGGAAATGCTATTAATTTCTGTGAGTTTATTTGTAACTTTATACTTTACTGAAGTAATCAGTTGTTAGAGTTTATTTATTGCTTCTTAAGTAAATCATGTCATCAGAAACTAGGGATAGTTTAGTTAACTCTTTGCCTTTTAATATCTTGTTGGTATTTCTGGAACCGTGTCAAATTATAGAGACTTTATTCCTATATTTATTGGGAAAGCTACTAGCATTTTCCACTGCATATAATGTCAGAATTGACTTATAAAATTTCAGTGATAAAACAAAACTTTAACAGCTGATGAAAAGTTTGCAAGAGTTTTCATTTTAGCAGATGAAAGGTAAAACAATATTGTTAGGAATCACTTTACTCATCTCAATTGTTGACTGAATCTGCTTTCCTTTTTGTCTTTTCCAGGGCCTTCGCTTCCTCCCAATAAAGAGCCACAAGGTCAAAGTTCAATAACTCCTCATGTAATAATAATCATGCAGACAGAAAAGTTATTTGCTATGGCCCAAATTACTCTGTAATGAAGAGGAAAATGTTAAAGGCTAGAATATTTTTTCAGTCTTCTCCTGTTCTCACTTCTGTGTAGTGGTTCTTGCTGGTTATTGCTTGGTAAAGTGCTGCTTCTCATGCAGGACTTCTTAACCTTTTTTGTGTCAGGGTGATTTGTGGCTTCAAACAGTGTCTGGCACGTAATAGATGTTCAATAAATACTATTGATTGTGGTAGGCAAGTGAAGTCTATGAATCTGTTCTTAGATAAATACTTTTAGTTTAAATAAAATATATAGAGTTACAAAGAAAGCTAGTTATTAAAATACAGTTGACAAAATTTTTAAAAAAAAGTTTATAGACCCCAGGTTAAAAAACTTTAATGAGTGAGACGCACCATCAGCCTAGAACTTTTCTTTGACCGGAGTGAAACTGATTTGTTGCTTCCTGGACCTTTAGGTACTCTTAACCTTAAACAATTTTTCTATCATCTAAGCAGATCCTCTAATACTTACCTCGTCTTTTAACTTAATGTGCACGTCCTACATAGAGTTCTCTTCATGATATTTTGGAAATAGTAGGCAAGCAGAAGTAATATGAAAGTTCACAAGCTAAGTTATGTGATTTTTGACTAATGGTTCCTGGTTTTTCAGGGACTTATTTTTCCTTCTGTCACATTCTTTGGCTATTCATTCCAGATCTAGGTTGAAGCCCTAATAATTCTTCATGTAAATTCTTCACACAAAAATTCTTCATACCTCATTTTTGTTAGTGAAGGAGAAAGATGTCACATTTAAAATTGATTCTGGTCTTTCTTCTTGGGGAGCAGTAAAATTTGAGCCTTGGTACATGGTACATGGTGGCCTGAGTCACATACTACTCATTTGTACTTTTTGTACAAATTTGTAAGTTGAATTGTATATAAATATTTCTTCTTGAATTTTCACAGGTAATTGTTTAGATTCCCAGATGTGATCTCGGTGCATGTGTTCTGACATTTTGTGAGCTTTTTTAGAATTGCTCATCTGTAGGATAAGGACCTTGTCTGGTTTTAGATGTTCGGCTAACACTCTTTTAAGTGAACTCCAATAAACATGTTCATGGACACATCCTCTGAGGTTCCTAAACGTAATTGTAGTTGGGACACATTTTTCATTAATATGAAAACCAAGCCTAAACCAGATACTACAGGAAATCATAGAAATGGATACTGCAATAGCATAGTGAAGCATTAACTTATTTTTCTTCTGCTTCAATCATTGTAATTAACATTTACTAAGCACCTACTCTTAGTAATGCACACAAAAATATAAAACTAGGTTGCTGCTCTCAGTTTTCTATATCACAGTTTCAAAGCTAATTAAAAGTTCAGTGAGTTCAATGAACTTGGGGCTTTACGAACAGTTCTAAAAGCCACTTATAAATTGTTTAACCATTTTTAGTGTTCTACCTTATACACTATAGAGATGAAAAAACGCACAGTATTTCATGCTGAATTACTTTAATGTTTCTTAGGTTTTGGCATCATTATCGTGATAGTTCTTACCATAGGTAAGTAGCACAAAATCTTAAGAATCTTGTTTTAAAGTGAAGCCTATGTGGTTTAATGGGAAGAAAGCAGAATTATTTGTTTTATTTTGTTACTGTTCACAGTTATCATTTGGTCTTGTAGATTAATGGTCTCCAAACATTTTTGATTACTTTTGTGTATCAGTGAAAATGTATTGAGTTTGCATTCCTCAATATATACGTTTATTTGTAGATTAAGTGCTGTATTAATATATTATACACATTATAAGCCACACACAAAGTGGAAATTAAGGATGAGATTAAAAAATGGAATAATATTTTAAACATTTTATTTTAAAAGTCATTAATGCAAAAAAACCCTTTGCTCATTCTAAAATTATTAGCATTTTTAGTGAGAACATTGTTAGTAATGATTTAAAGGTATGGCTCTGAGCTCAGTTTAATACTTGATTTTAATGGATTTCATAGCTGAAAACTATACTACACAAAAGTATGTCAAGTTGTCAAGTCAACAGTCATTTATTAAGTACTTCTTATGTACCAAGCCCTCTGGCTAAGCACTTGGAATACAAATACAAGCAAAAAGAAAGATGGTCTTGCCCTTGAAGAGGTTACATTCTAATAGGGGAAGATTGTGCAGAAAAGGAAGCTGATAACAGGAGGAGGGGGCTTGGTGGAGAAAGAAGTTAGGAGTGGAATGAAGGTGTGACCCTGACAGGTGTGGGGCACTTTGCTTAAAATGGAAGTTCTTGGAGAAACTGACCAATTAAAGGCAGGTGCCCCAGTGGTCTGCTAGGATGAGAAGGCTGCTGAGGGCTGAATGTTTTTGCTGTATGAGAAGACTGGAGAAAGAAGTCTAGAGCCTCAGATATGTAGATACAGGTGGAAGAAGTGCATGTTGACTAGTTTACCACATCAAGCTATTCTTTGGTCTTATCCACCAGTTATCCAGTTTGTTGACATTGCTTTGGTAACTTTACATCTTCCTTGAGGTCAGTTATTCTTGCAAACTAATTGAAAGGTTTTGCATTCTATTCTGCTTCTGGAAGATTTTTAAACAGGATAGAAAATTCCCTTTCCAGGTTAAGTCCATAAATGAATTCTTGTGACGCATATTGTTTTAAGGAAATAGAAGCTTAGGTTTATGCTTTTTCAAGTTGTGATGGCTTAAAATACTGTTTAAAAAGAATTTTTTAAAAATTGTGATGGTTTTATAACTATCACTAGCTAATATCTTGAAGTTCAGCATACACTTGGTTTAGGAAAACTAATATTTCCAATAATTTTAATTTGAGTTTTTCGACTGGCTGTCCCGTTTTATCAGATTGTTTTTTAGCTTGCCTGTGTGGCTGTTGAAGTTTGTTGCAAGAGTAGAAGTGTAACCTCTGCTATTGTTGTTTGCCTGTGCTCACATTATTATCTTCAATTTATAGCAAAGGTTCCCAAAGTTATTTGGCCTTCTGCCCCCTTTTAAAAAAAAATTACTCCAAGCACCCCCCCCTGAAATCGGCTTTTTTTAACTTGTTAGCGGTTCTATTAAATTTGAGTTACCCAAGGCTACTATGCTTGAATCATTCCAGCAGAGAGAGAGAGCTAGAGAGAGACACACACATAGAGTAGTATGCTTGGTTGAAACTATGATCCACAGTTTCTTTGCAGAAATCGTTTTAAAAATTCTTGCCCATTTTGTGAAGATTGTTTGGTTAAAGCTAGATAATATATTCTATAAATCCACTTCATTGGGCATTATCTCAACTATATGCATCACAGTAAGTGAATGAATGAACAGGTGAAAACACCACACCACTGAGTGGTGGAATTTTTGTTCTTCAGGACACCTTGTGTTCTTGATGCATAATTATGACATACAGATCTACATGGTACCAGTGTCAATCCATAAAGTTCTTTATTTTTAGATAAAAATGCATTTTTTTCCTGTACCTGACAAGGATCATATTGCATGCATTCCACTTTGGAAACCATCAACCTAGAGTGAAATAAACAAATCTTTGACACGGAATCACACGATTTTACTTTGTCATAGTGATTTAGAATGGCTCTTTGTACTTACAACCATTTAGTCTTTTACAAAGTAATTTCCCCCCTAATGTTGAACTGAGTGAGTTTCCCTTCAGTATTCTCTGGTAGCCTTATAAATTCTCCTAGGAATCTCTTCTTACTGATTTTTAGAATGCCTGAGAGGCAAAAAGTATGTTGTACACTGAAACTGGATGGATAATGTATTACCTAGTAACTAGTATGAATTTGTGTAGTATATGTGCCTATCTATGTGTTCACAGTGGCCAGCTCTCTGTCATTAAATTAAGGAGCTTACTGTTTTTCAACATTTCATGATATTTGGATTTTTTTTAATAGTTATCGTGTTTTCAATGATCAGCTTTATCGCTTATCGTCGGTACAAGGAGAAATAAGGGTGAGTCAAAGTGTCTTTTAAAATGGATCATTTTTTTACAATTCCATCCAGAATATTTTCTTTTGCATTGACTTGTACAATCAGTATTTTTTCCTTTTTTCCAGTATATTAATGTTAATGCCAGACTTGGCAAATTTGCTTTGTATTTAAGAGCCAGGTCAAATTTGTTTTGTTGGGGAAAGGGCACAGGCAAAATTTTTGGCTTTCAAAGAAAGAAAAAGGCAGTTCACTCCATAAGATGATGGCTTCCAAACTCAAATCAAAGTGCCAATCTAGGATCTACAGGAGGGGCTGAAAGAGCCCCTCTCAAAGTGCACAGCTTAGTTCGTTGATCACAGCCACAAATGGAACCAGTAGGAGATCAATGGTCAGACCACCCCATGCTGGTGACCTCAGGCTGCACCAGAATCGTTGATGCTTCACAAGTCTTTTTATTGGGAGGAAGGAGTCCATGAAGCTACAGATCCATATTACATTTTGCTTTCTTTTAAGTATGTGATGAATCCAACATGTTACTTTCAGAGCTGCTCTTGTTTTATTGATGCTCCTGTTTCTTATGTGAATTTTAAAAAATACTTGCTGACCTCTTCCCCCCATTTTGGTAACCTAAATACTCCACACTGAATTTAAAGAAAGAAAACAAATCCACACATTGGCCATGTCTGAGGACGTATGTCTCATTCTGCACTTTGACTTCACCATTAAACATTTAATTACTAGTCCTCTGGAATCATGGCTGGTCATATTAGTCCTGAGTTGTTAAAGTATTAGTTGTATTTTTTGTTATTATTTACATTGTTCTCTGTGTTCTGCTCACTTCATTCTGAAGTCTAAAATATCTTCCTGAATCAAATTCCTTTATCTTTTCTTACAGGGCAGTACTCTTTATTCCATTACATTCATATACCATAGTTTGTTTTAACTTATCCACAACCCAGTGGGACCCACTTAGTTCCCAGTTGTTTGTCACTACAAAAAGAGCGGTTATAAACATTTTTGTAAATGTGAGTTCTTTCCCTCTTTCTTGATCTCTTTGGAGGTGTAGGCCTAGTATTTATATTTCTATTCTAGGTCAAAGGGTTCACAGTTTAATGATCTTTTTGAATGCAGTTACAAATGGCTAGATTAATTCATAGTTTTGTAGCTAAGAAATCTAAGGAACTCTTAAGGCAGGTTCATATACTTTTTTTTCTTTTTTCTTTATTTTTTTAGTATTCTCTCTTATTTTATTTATTTTTAGTTTTCAACATTTGCTTACACAAGATGTTGAGTTTCAAATTTTTGCCCCATCTCTCCCCTGCTCCCACCCCTTCCCCTAATCTGCCCTCCCTTCTGTCACCCCCCTTTCTCTTATCCTGTTCTGCTTCTATTTTCCTGTAGGGCAGAATAGATTTCTATATCCCATTGCCTGTATATCTTATTTCTCAAATGCATGTAAAAACAATTTTTAACATTGTTTTTAAAACTTTGGGTTCCAGATTCTCTTCCTTTCTCCCTCCCGACCCACCCTCATTGAGAAGGCAAGCAACTCAATCCAGGTTATTTATGTATAGTCATACAAAACCCTTCCATAATAGTCATGTTGAGGTTCACATCTCTTGTCCCTAACAAATGGTACCATCTGGTGTCATAAATATTGCCTTTTTTTTTCAGGTTATCATTATAGTAAACTGTGAATGTACAAAAGCAGAAAGAACAATGTACAATTTTGAAGTTTTGGGTGAAAGTGAATTTAAGAAAGAGGTACAACAATGAAATAAATAGCTCAGTGTCATAATAACCTGGTACCCATTATTTGTGGTATGCCCGTTGAAGAAAAATATTTTTATCCATTTGCCTTCTTTTGTAATCACTGCACAAGAATTAATTAGTGAAGTTGTTTTAGATTTTCAAAACAAAAGACAATTCTTTGTAACTAGATACTAAAATTCTACAGAGAGTCATGGACTTCTTCAAAGCAAAGCCTATTTCATATTTCAAAATGGACCTAACAACCAAAAATAAGAATGATAATACCAATAATATTAGTGATAATACCAAATATTTACATGGCACTTTTATGTGTGTAAGCCACTTTTTACATATATTTCATTATTTAAATCTCATAACAACCCTGTGAAATATAGATATGAGGAGTTTTCTTTTGGAAAATTTGACAGTGGTATCATTGGTATGTTAGTGACAGATTCCATGTTTGCCCCTTGTACAACGTGGAGGACTAATTCCTATGTAGCTGTAGAAGCAATATGGTAATCCCATCTGAGAAATTTATTTTAGAATTATCCTTCATAAGGACTCTACAGATTTTCCCACTGCTGTTTGTTTTCTTAAATTCCCCTTAATTTGGAGGAGTTACAAATTAATTAGTTGTACTTTAAAATGCTGTGGTTAAACTTAATTGTAGTGGTTGACAGAAGCAAGATCTATAAGACCTAGCAAATTAATAGCATATTTGTTAGCCTTTTACAAATGCAAAAAGCTTGAAAAAGCAAATGTGTAATTTACTGAATAAGAAAGTAAGAAGATGTAAATGAAATATATTTATTGCCAGCAGATTTTGAAAGTAATTATTAAGGTGAAACAAAGATAGCTGTGCTTTAGAATTATTTCTGAGGAATACTGTGTCTTCTGACTGATTCTGCCTACAGAAATACATTACCACTTTAATAACTTTGACATCATCTTTAACTCAAACCTAGTGAGTTCAAATGTTATCAGATTTCTTTATTTATTATTGAGCATAGATGAAATGCTATACTTATACAAAAGGCATTATTCTACAGGGCTTAGTATTTTTAGTTTTATTTCAGTTTACCTTTTGAAACTTTATAAAAGCTTTCTCTTTCTTTTGCCTCTATAGATAAAATCTTATTCTTCATTGAAAGATTGTTCATTAAAGCTGGACAGAAGAGTATGTTTGTCCATGATGAGTGTTAATGGATTAAAGAAAACTTTCAATAGATTGTCTTTTTTATTATATATTTCTGTGTTACTAGCTGGTTTCTCTTGAACCAACCTATGATTTTGTTAGAAAAATGAACCCATTAATAATTACATAATTTTTGCTATAGTTCTCATAATTTTTTACTTTCTATATTTTAAATTTCATCCTGCCTATCCTTAAACAAGTGTTTATGGAAAAGCTGTTTTTTACTATCATAGTAGCCAAACTAAGATTTGTAGGAGACAAAAATGAGTGAAGTTGAGTTGGGAAAGATAACTGAACAGTGCAAGTTTTTTGGTTTTTTTTTTTTCCCAGCCAAAGACAAGGTTTATTAAAGATTCACCATATTGGCCAGATTTTAAGAATCTGAGCCTGACTTTATTTTCTGCTTGCCTCTGGTTCTTAAATAGGCAAAGCACTATAATGTATGCCATATTATTACAGCCTATTCTGACTTATGCATATAAACATTTAAAAGGAAACAGTATCACAAGAGTGCAAAAATGATTTATGATTGGTTTGGTGGTGCATTCTTGACTTAAATTCAAGTCTGACTGCTGTTTCTAGAATTCATACTTTGGGAACTTGAGAAGTGATGAAGTATTTGCTCTTACTAGATATTACTTAAAGGAAAGCAAAATTTTTTTTTATACTTAATCTGCCATGATAATCAGGAGTAGGAATACTTGAAGCTGAATTGAATGTATTGGAAAAACTTCTTGCCATAAAATTGAACAGTATGAATGCACGTCTCCTCTATAGGCATACTCAACAACCTGCTAAAAACTTGGAGCGTTAGATCCCAGTACTATTTCTTTTGATATGATGTTTTAGTAGATGAAACAATTTTAGATCATATAACTGTGTACTCTACAATGCTCATGCACAGGTCATCACTGAGGAGGCAGAAGTTGGGAATTTCTCCATTTGATTTGATTGTCTTTAATCTTGTTCAAATTGAGAACACACATTAATTTGAATTAATATTATATTTTTAGTAAAAGTACAAAGCCAAGACAAACCTAAATTAACTTTTTAGCATTACTTCATCTTTCTCATAGAATTGATTTTGCTTGTTTTTCCTGTCCTTCTTCCTTTTCTTTGGTAGGATTGATCATTCACATTTTATTCAGTCAGACCTTTTTCCCTTCCTCTGTTCAGCAAATACATAACTGATGGAATCCACAAAGAAGAAACACATTTAAATTCTCTTACTTCTCCTAAAGAAGACGCCTTAATGAAAGAAAGGTTTACTTAAATCATTAAAAGGTATCTGTAACTCATATTGTATCTTTAAGTCATACTCAACTGGAAAAGGGTTCAGAGATTTTCATTGGGAACTAACCAAAGCTGTGGGATATTTGCAGGGGACAGAAAGAAAAACTTGTGCCATGTTTTCTTTGCTAAAGTACTGAATCTTCTGGCATTGAACTGTACTTCATTATAAAACATGCTTTCTAAAAATGTTTTCTGAAGGAGTTTCAAAACACTACAGACTTTTGCTCTGGGGGAAAGGGCAAAAAAAAAATTAAGCATCACACTTATGTGGAGATTGGTCCCTCAGCCTTCCTACACAGGTACAGATCTAGAACTGAAAAGTCCTGTGTCAGTTATCTGCTTCCAAGCCTATTAATATTGGTAGTAGTGTCCCTTCCTAGGCAATTCATCAGTTGACAACATTTAATAAGCACCTACTATGTGCCAGGCATTGTGCTAGATGCTAGGGAGATATAGATAAAAAAGAGTTTCTGCCCTCAGGAAGCTTATGTTTACTGCTTATTTTACACAAAGCATAGTTATCTTAATTTCTCTGGAAACCTCCAGTTAAAACAAGTTGAAGGAACAGAAGGATAAAACAGAAGTGATTGTATTGAATAGGGTGGGGATTAGGGAGAAGTCAAGAGCCTCCCCCATCTGAGGGCTTCACTGAAGCAGGAGACACTAGAATAGCACCACAGCCTGGGGGCATCAGTAAAACATTTTTAATTTCAATCTTTATGAAATAGGTTACATCTTCTCCTGCCTTAGAAATATAATTATTTACCAGGAAGTTTGAGCCTGAGCTTAAATTAAGTTTACCTCCAAAGAAGGAATTATAACATTTGGTGGGTGCTCCTGTGCTGTTGTTAGTTGTCAGGAATATTGTACCTTCCAAGAAAAAAACCTCTTGGTAAATAATTGGTTTCTATCCAACTTCTTATGAAAGGGAAATCTGTAATATATGCCAGAAAGACTCCCATTAAAATGGTTTGTCTTTCATAGTAATTATTATTTAAAATGTTAGGTCTCAATTAGCTGCAGAATTCACTTATCCCAAATGTTTTTTTCTCCCATCAGTGCTAGATAAACTGACATTCCTCTAATTGTTAAAGGACTCCTGTCTTCCAAATGAATCATCTTTTTAAAAGCTTCAGTTGAGTCACAGATTTCTGAATGTTATCATTTTATTCAGCTGTCCCTCTGAGTTGTTTTCCTGTTGCAACTAAATGAAAATTAACTCAGTTTCAACACATGGGAATTGGTTACCAATTTTGTGTAAAGTAATATATACTACTGCTTAGGGTGAGAAGAGAGTTGCTCAGAGCCACAATTATTTTTTAACAGATTTGCTTCTTAGGTGGTTGGAGTTAGGAATCTCTAAAAAGAATTAGGAATTATTTAGAAAGAGTTTCTTTTCTATATAATACCCCTTTTAAAAATTATTTTAAAGTTTAACTTATTACTGTGATATAATCTTGTTTGACTGTGATCCTCTTTTTCTTGTTTTGCCTTATAGGAAAAATGTAACGATTCCTGTTAGTGCTGATTACAAACCTAGCCCGGAACAAGGGAACCATTCTGAGGAAAGCAAGTGTATGATTTCAGTAAACTAACGTAACCACCAATCTGGCCTATTATTTTTTAGTTTTAATGTTAAGCACTTTTCTAGTTACTTTCAATGTAGCTCCTTTGCCAGCTGAAAACAAAGCTGTTAAGTTGGAATTTTGGTGTTTTAAGATAAGGCTTATTAATTAGCATCCTTACATACACCTTTACACCTGTATGGTGCTTAAAATGGAAATGAAGATAATACACACGTTGTGGGTCTGCCCAGGTCATCACTGCATTTAGTGTAGGGTGTCAGAAGGAAGATGGCAAAATACTATTTTAAGAAAAAAAGTTTTGCAAATGCACTTATAGGAATAAGAAATCTGTAATCCCACAGCTGCCTGTGATTCATTCCTCTGAGGCCTGCTCCATGTTCACTGAGGCCTGTGTACCCATGCCAAACTGAGCTCTTCTCCCCACCTGGCACCATATGCCTTTCTGATCAACCATCCAGACTGTCTTGGGCTGGAAATTTGTTTTACTCTGTCTTTTTGTGGGTTCTGCTGCTTTAGAATTTATTTAGAGCCATTTTTTTTTTACCGGTATTTGGAGGGGTTTGGGGGAGAGCTCAAGCAAGTCACTGCTTTCATGCCACCATCTTGGCTCCGCCCCCCTCAGTGATTCATACTCGCTGTTATTCAGAATTCCTATAGTTTCACTGTATTCCTTTAAGATTCGTTTTAAAAGCCCTATTGGCTGATCCCTTTACATGTATTCAATGAGGCTTAACTTTTTTTTTTACACTCTTCTAGATTTTTGTCTGCAACCCTTTTTGAAACCTGAGAAACTACTTGGTAATTGAATATTTATGGTATCATAGAATTTTACTTTAAAAGAATCATTATTTCTTCCATAAAGTTGGTAACCTCCCCCCTTCCTTAATTTGGGAATATTCTATATTACTTGTCAGTGTCCGTCCTTCTGCAAAAGCAGCCACTGACAATTCAACTCAAGTTAAAAAGGCAGTAATTGCTCAAATATCTGGAGTGAAGACTTCCAGAAAGATTTTCTAGCAAAGGTTGGAGACCCACTTGTCAGCTTTGCAGGGGTTTCATTTAGGTACAGGTTCTCTAGATCAGGAATTCATAACCTGGCCTTCACGGACCTGGAGAACTTCAGAAAGGACCATAAACTTGGATGTGGAAAAATAATTACATCTGTATTTTGATATTTTGATTGGTTTCCTTTGCAATCCTAGGTATTTTATACATTTAAAATACTTCAGAAAAGGGGTCCATGGCACACAACAAAAGGTTAACACTTCACCCTCCCACCCCTCCATCTATATTGTCACTTGAGGTTCCTTTCCACATAGGATTCTGTGAAAACCTTCTTATCTTGGGCCCTCTAGTGGCAAGGCCACCACAAACCATGTGGACATCACACTGTGAGTGACTTTAAAGGGCAACTCCCCAGACTGCCAGGAAAGGGAGGAAGAAATTAAGAGGGAAATTGGCCTTGTGTGTCAAACTAACAGAAGAAACATAAGTTTAAAGCCTTATTTTATAGGTGAGGAAACTGAGGGCCAGAGAAGTTTAAATGAGTTACCCAGAGTCACACAGTGTCCAAGGTGGAATTTGAATCTAGGTCTTCCCAATTTCAAGTCCAGTGCTCTTATCCATTATACCCCTTAGCCGTGTATACAATGTATATAGACTAGTTTACTGTCCCAGTTTTGTTTGTCCTGTCCTTTATGCCTTCTTATTCTCAACCTCATGGAATTGAATGGGAAGGAGGAGTTGAAAAATAGACATGACAAGCAATGCAGAAAAAAATTTATTAGTGCATTTAACCTTATTATAGATTTAATTGTTTTATAGCACCTCAAAATTACAAAGAAAAGGCAAAACAGGACTGGAATCAAATCACATGGATTCATTCACATGTCCAGAGAGCATTTATCCATTAGGTTGTCTCTTACCTCTGAGTTTCAGAAGCTTCAGTGCAGTTGCAGTTGGTTACTAAGAAGTGTGGTCTTTTTTTTCCCCCCATGATTCATGCTACAACTAACCAATCAGCCTTGCATAGGGTTCCAGGACTGCTGCTTTTCCCCCTACATCATAACCGATTTCAAATGGTGCTAGACAAAAACAGACTCTGAACACCAAGAGAAATCGGTCAGCCTGTGTAAGAGAGAGGTCCAGTAGGGTTTGTGGAATTCTGCTGTATTATAACAATGGCTGACATCTTTGCATGTACAAATAACCTCAAATTTTCAAGCAAGTAATAGAACAGTTTTTGCCCGGGGGATGCTATAGCTACCCTTCTCATTATTCCAGAAAAACACATCACCACTCAATTGAAGACTAAAATCATGACATTCATTAACCAAGAAGTGTTTATTTTATGAAACTATGAGGACCCTACCACGCTTGGGCAGGACTGTTAACTAACATTCAAAAAGAGTATTATCATATTTATAAAATACTGTCATACATCCTCACAACAACCCTGTGAGGTAGGTAGGTAGTGAGTATAATATCCATTTTGAAGAAAAGAAAACTGAGATTCAGAGCCTGTGACTAGTCCAAGCTCCCACAGCTAGTAACTGGTTGAGATTAGAACCTCAGGTCTTGAGATCCCCAATCCAGTGTTTTGGTTTGTTTTTGTTTTTTCAATTGAGCTATGCAAAACTGGCCTCAGTTCCTTATGGCATTATCATTGGAGCTAACACCTTGAACGTGATCCTACCCCTTAGTTTGATTTTTATGACAATTATCCTCTTGTGGAGGGAGTCTTTTCCTAGTTCAAATGGCAAATCTAAAAAGCAGATGAGCCACTAAAACGTATGTCCTTCCTTGCCGCAATTCTTACTCCTAAAACACTGATTTCAAATGGTGCTAGATACAGAGATGGAAAAATCTAAGCCACCATGTGAAACCAGCTTCCAGAAGAAGAGCAACATCCTGAAGAGGGGGAAGCCTCAGTCTCTGTTCTGAGATGGAAGGTCTTCTTCCTCCTCCACTGGTGACAAAAGGTGCAATTATGATCATGGCACAGAAGGAGATAGAATTAACATAATGGCGACTAGAACAATGCAGAAACCACCCTCCTATTTTCTAAGAGGTGGCAACACAAACCCCTTTCTGTATTAACTTTATACTATCAGACCAAAAGAGATCAGATTAATCATGTTGTTGTAGACATAAACAGGAGTTAAAGGCTCTTATTGCAATGCACCATTAGCTCTCATATGACAAGGACATTTTCCCCACCTATACCAGCATTTTGCCTCCTTCCATTGAAGGAGATTTAGCACCCACCTGTGGTTTCTTCTCCAGCCTGTGCAGGAACCATTGACAGTTTTAGTTGAGGAGCCCATCTCACGTATAATATAGATGGGGGGATTTTCCTGGTTTGCCTGTAAATGGGCCTCCCAAAAGATTTTTCTAAATCAGGCCATATGCCATGCATTAATTCTCCCCATACTTCCCCTTCCTTCCCCTTTCTACCTAGATCAGGGGTTCTTTAAGTGTGGTCTGTGAACTTTAAAAAAAAACTATTTTGACAGTTTTAATAATAGATAGAATTTGTTTCCATTTTAATCCTATTTTAATTTCATGTTGGGCATTTGAAAACAAACTCCAAAACCCTGTGTTTGAAGGAAAGGGCATTCTGACAGGTCAGATGTTCTCCCCACTGTCTCTAATACAATCCCCTCCTGCCCACCTTCTTTCTTATACTAGGAGGTACTGGGCATGTTAACTAACCTCAGACTAGCAGTTCTGCCCACTGCCTGGGCACACACCTGGCAGACAGCACACGAAGCTGGGCATGCCCAGTGACGTTGTTCCACTTTCCTCTTTAGGGGGGAAGAAGGGATGGGGCTGGGCCAGTCATGGGGTAGGTTCTGAGCTCAGCGCCAACTTTCAAGCATACCCTCTTGCCTACTTCCCCTACAGCATGATATGGCTAGAAGCTGGACCCGGGCTGCCCACCAGCCCCACTTTGTTATCGGGACCTGTCTCTGCTAGTCTTATGACCAGGAACAGTAAGTGGGGGAGGGAGAGCTGGAGGAGGAAGTTTCACAGTCTAGTGCATTCCCATGGGGGGGGTGGAGAGAAGGGGAAGGGGGAAGGAAAGGAAGGAAGGAGACAAAGGGGAGGGGAGGGAGGGGGAGAAGTAAAGGGACATGGGGGGACAGAGAGAGAGAGAGAGAGGAGGAAGGGAATGAGGGGGAGAAGAGGGGGGAGAGAAAGAGAGAGACATACATAGACACTTCTCTTTAATGAACTCTGATGTCTCCCCTTTCATTTCTTTTTCTTTCCCCTCCTGTCAGGAATGACGATTGCTGGTGGGGGCGGGTGCCCAGGTACCAAGCCAACTGGGCTCTCGCCCGGCTCTATCCCAGGCCTGGCAATCTCCCTCTGGCCGTTACCCATCATGCACTTCTGCCTCTTTCGGGGAGACCTCGCCCTCTTGTTTTCAAAGTTTTATAACAGTACTGTTTGTTGTGGAGCAGATTAAATTCTTTAGAGGTTGGGGGGTGGCTGGAGAAGAGTGAGAAAGTCTACTGGAGCCAAGAGATTAAATTAATTCCTTTCTCAACGCAGAGTTCACCTGTCTTGGAAAGGGACCAGCAGCCAGGAACATGTGTTCTCTCTCTCTGCCCTCTACCCTCATGCCCTCCTTCTCTTCCTGTCCTGGGGAGGCACTCTGAGTCTGGCAAGGACATGCCTGGTTGCATGATCAAGGGCTGGGGCTTTAATGGTCAATGAGCCAGGGTTTGAGACAAAATGAAAGCAACTGAAGAGAACAGGAATGGAGAAACTGACCTGTCCCTCCCCCACCTCCCTATGACCAGCTGAAGATCACTGAACCCTGAAAATGCCCCAGGCACTCCTATCCTGATGATGGGATTGCTCATCTTCCCCAAGGCTTTGCACCTTGGTCCTGGACCATCCTGAGGTCCTATGGGCAGCGCCTTGGAGCTCAGTCTGGGCAGACAGCTTCTGAAATGAGCTCTGGCTTATATATAAAACTTTTTTTAAAGGTTAAGTGACTCAACACATTTTCA